ATTGGGTTTTCATTCGTAAGGCCATTGCGAGAACTGAGCTTATAAAGTCGTCGAGCTATCCTTTCGAACTTTTTATGTGATGTGTAGGTGTAGAAAAAGGAAGTATCGTAAGGTGTTTTAATTAGAATAGATATGTTTCTTGTATAAGAAAAAAATGGTTCTCAATCCAATTTAGTTCAACTCTTTAATATAAATGTTACACTTATAGGGTTGCATTTCTGAGAAAGAGAGGGAAGTTCAACATGTTTTCTAAATGTTTACCGAAGGGTAGATGTTATTCCTTAATTATTAAGTCCGGCGCCGTATTGAGCAACCTAATTAAATTTCGAATTCGTCTGCTAATGCAGCTAAAGTATTATGTACAAAAGTCATTTTACAGTTATACGACTATTATTCACTCAAATTCAATTAGTTTTTAATGAAAAATATTAGATACATTTGAAAAAACCAACTATTAGAAGGCGTTTAAATAAATGAAAGGTAATATTTCAGAATTATGTTCGTCCCTGTGCTAAAGACAAGCATAGACGGTTCTGTTTTTTCCAGCGTAGCGTTTACCTGACGCTTGCATTCAAACGTTTTCCTCTTAACTGATGCTGGAATTGCCTACGCAGGGCGAACGACGTCATATAGGCCCATAAAAATGGACGAAGTGCTACCACTAAGAATTTGAGAAATGTACAGCATTTGCCAATTTACCTCAGAGGTAAGGGAACCGTTATGTGGGGCCATAGGTGATATGATCGTGTTCTCCCAAGCTGAAAAAGCTTCAGTAACGAAAATCACCGAAATATTGTCAAGAGATTCGAGACGGTTGTACCTTTGCAGCGAATATATCTTGTTAGTATGAGTTTTAACATAATAGCGTCATTATAGATCTATGAATAAAATCGTGTCGGAAAATACTTCTCAATTGAAAATAAGACGCTATCGTTTTTTTTTTGGCTCTGATATAGCCTCAACAAGAGAGGCTAGCTAACGCTCTCAACGATGGCTACTAACCTCAATAGTCTTCACAATCGTCAAATCTTAGTCAAAACAATCGTTACTGTAAAGCAATGTATATCCTGTACTAGACAGACAAGGGGAGTAATTACGCGTAGCAGTATATGGAGATTATTACGCAAGTTTAGTTTTGGTTTTGACGGCTTTTGTAACGATGTATATATATATGTATATGTACGTTTGGCATGACGAGGAGATACTATAGAAATACTGATATAATGAGGAAAAACAGCTCCATACACAAGAAATATAAAACAATTTTTCATAGATTTTTACTTAAGCTAGGAAACAAACGTTGACGATAGAAGTCGGATGGCAGCACCTGCTTAGTCTAGGTGGTTTCGTACAGATACAAACCTATTTAGACACTGTTTTAATGTCTAAAACCATTTGTTAAGAGTCCACGTAGAATGACTTCATGCAAACTGATATCCAAGAATTACTGATTTCCGCATGGCACCCATGAATCGTGCTGCTGCTTTTCGAAGAAACGCCAAGATTATAGTTAGATTAGATAATTGTTTTTACTACACGAACATTACAAAATAGCCAGACGTTTTAATTATTACTTGCTTCACGCTATGTGGTGTGTCGGAATGAGAAACCATCATGCACACACTATATTGTTGTGATACAAACGTCATTTCTACATGATGGTAAAATAGCAGTTATAATGTATACAACTATTTTAGGCGATTCAGTCTCGTACTTTGGACTATCTGAAGAGAGTTAACTCAAATTAGATGACTAATATTATAGGCCTATATGGGTTTGCAAAAGTAATTCCTATAATACCTTCAACGAAAATATGCCACATCAGTGTTCTGGCACCTACATTTTGAGCTAGCGTCATTACGTGTTATGGTCAGCTATACGTGCACGTTGCCTGCTATCTTGATGGTTCTGCTTGTACATATTCCGGTCAACATGTACATAGCCTCTTTTTCGGTAGGATGAGACAGTGGAACGTAGAAGTACTATGCTATTTACGTGTACATGCTCCACGAATGGGTATGAACTAAATTCGCTGCTCAATAATCTCAGCAGATGCATAAGCTGAAGACACTGATAAATCAGTGATTTAACGAACAGTGCAGAGAAGCAATACTCGGCTGAGTTGGAAACTCTTGTATTTTTCGAGGTATTTATATATTTCTATAAAACCCAATCGTTCAAAGAGCCGAGGATGCGCATTTGTCCGTGTTTAAGTCCTAATTTGTAATTTATGACGTCACTGATAATTGCCTTTTTAGACTATTAACCACCCTTCAGAGGCAGCTTTACCGTACTTGACTGAAATCGGCTAACCTTTCGACATTGGGTACTTTTGTGTACCTATGGAGATCTGTGTATCTATTCAATAATGTGGAGCCGTCGGCTACGAAGATAGACAATTATGCCGTTGAGCAGGCGTTGCTGAGCAGATAGGCATCTCTCGCTGACTACGGCCGTAATAGTCGTTGTAATTTACGTTTGCTGATTACGGTGCGACGCTGTGGCGTGCCGTTGCAAGGTCTCGTTGGAGGACTTCTTTAGCTACAGAAGAAGAAGTCTAAACCCGTATATATAGACTGTTTGGGTTGCTCTTCAGCAAGTTACTCATCTCTTTAACACCGACGTCAGTATGGGCTATATTCGCCGGCAGAAATCCATCACTTCCCGCGTGTGCAATAGACCTGTACATGGCAATACGCCTTGAAGCTTGTCAATCCCGTCTACAGTTCATTCGTCGCCCGACTCAACCTCTGACTTGTTCCATTTTATTGAAATTTAGACAAATTGAATTGATTGGGGCTGTTTTGCAGACCCGATACTGCAATAATATTGAGAGTTCAATCGTTTGAATTGAATCCACTGAGGATCAAGTTGATTCATTAACTTAAATTGATTAGTTCGGGTCGACGATCGGTCCACTGTGGTTTTGCACACGGACACAAATGTATATGGAGCCCACGAACCAATGCAGATCTATATCAGTATTGTTCTTCGTATCGAACTAGCTGGTTTTCTATTGTTTGCCTACCTGCCAAGACGATCGAACGTGGCGAAACTGTCCTGTGTCATTTACGTATTTCGTTAAGCATTGGCCAAGATAGGGATCTGCGTACGGCTAGCAGATCTTCCAATCCACAGTAGTACCTGGTTCGTTTTGTGGAAAAAAAAAAGTTCGCTGGCCATGGTTTGTGGCTTAACTGCTTCTATCCAGCAACGTGCTTCGCAAAAAATCTACTATCAGACCACACCGTATACTACGTCTGAAATTATTGTACGCAATAGGCAATGGAATCATCGGATCATTGTCACACAACATTTGTGCTGCACGGATACACTATGCCTAAACGTTGCTAAGTGTCCTATTGTTGTATCATTTCATTAGCATTTACTGGCGGAGCAACCCTATAAGGAAAGTTTCTGCCGGTCATTCCGGACTTAGCTGTGATCTTCTCATTGCAAACACCAAAGACAACAACTGTCATAAGGATAAGATTAAAGCCAGCCACAGCAGCACAAGCTGTAATGACAGTTTCCCTAGCAATTACAGGCCAGCACAATTCATGGGGATAAAAAGGTAACCATCCGCCATAAACAAACGTCGAACGCTTTTCTCTTACTTAGCTGAGAGAGTGGAAGTGGACCAAGGCGGATTCTGTTAAGTTACGTAACTTTGAGATACTAACAGTGCTACTGCTGCTGCTGCGACGATCGGTATCGCGAGGTCGACCACTGCCAGCAAGAATCTTTACGGATGCCATCTTCCGAGGTGCGAGGCACGATCAAATGGATAGATAGCCGCTACAGCACGATGTGTGTCGATTAGCCGAAAACCACTTAAAGGAGTATGCTCATACGTAAAACCCACATTGGCTTTGAAGGGATTTGAGTGATGGATGACAGCTCATCTTAACGAGATACGCTTAGATGCTGGAGTTGTAGCGTATTCACGTTGGGATCGTGTGTTTTATAGAAACTGTGCGTTTTACTCTTTATATGAGATTCTGTTGAGGTGGTTTATGGACGTGTTTTTAGCTTTCTGCGTACGTATGAAGAGCCTGAAGGTATATATATATATATCTTCAGGCTCTTCATATATATATATATATATATATCTGAATAAAGGCTGTTCAAGTCGTTCCCATGATAAACATTTTAATCTTCTGTGCGGTGCTTGTATAGAGAACTACAGTTGGTCTTCCAGAAGTGATCGAAGGAACGAGTTGTAATGAGAGCTTGCTTCTGCTGTGATTATACATGGATGCGCGTGTGTGCATGTTGACGAAAAATTGTTGCCGCTTAGTACTCTCTAACAAACTGTTTACTTGGAATGGTTATAGCGTGCACTTGTTTGTGTCATAACTATAATCCTGAGGACTACAAGTTTCTATAGGACTTCCAAACAGGGTTTTTGTTTGCCTTGAATTTGATTAGAATGTGTGCAAATGGTTTACGAGTTGACCTCCTTTAACGGGTCTAGTCTGCTTCGACTTAAAACTCCATCTGCATAAGCTGTCTTACCGCGTTCCTCAATCGGCAATTGCTTCTCTATGCTTTTTTTTTTGAAACGGCTTATTTGCATTTATTGGTTATTGGCAATATAAAGGACAGAGGATTTTTTCAAGAGGAAATCTAAACGGTCACGTTATAGTAGTTACGCAACTATAAACATATATAGATCCATTCGTCCTACTCCTATAGTATCAACCCAAATCAATAAGTTCTACCGCTTAATAATTCGATTTCATGGTGGTTTTTGAAGCCTTTCGTTCGGTACTTGTCATTGTTTCTACGGTGGCAACCTATAAAGGTGTCACATTTATATTGAAGTGATGCATACTGGTCAACGAGGCAGCCAAATACACGTCAGCGTCAGTTGCTTCTATCTATCGAGAGCACCACTTTCATGTAAACTTACCTTAGTTAGACTGTGTGTTATTTGCCGCCATGATATATAATCAGCTTCTGTTAAAAACTCGATATTTTGTCGTGTGTTATTCTAGTTCGAGCGGACAAGATGAAGGCGGATTGTGTGGACAAATGGGTGTCGACCGTGTTTCGCACGCTCGGCGAGTCGATCGCCCGGACTCCTGGCTATTACATCGTCGTACCAGTCATGCTATTCCTGACGCTAAGTACCGGTATGCAGCGCATAAAATACCAGGACGATCCGGAGTACCTGTTTAGTCCACAGAATGGCCAATCGCACAAAGATCGCGAACGGTTATTTCAGCTCTTCCCCCAGAACACCTCGCAAGACTTCGATTTGAGCCGGCTAGTTACACCAGAGAAATTCGGCCGAGTGATCTTCTATACGAAGCCTGGACAGAACATCTTGCGCAAAGGAGTGTTCGACGACATACTCAAGGTAGATCAACTAATTAAAAATCTGTCTTCGACCTGGGACGACGATACAAAGAACTGGTATGAAATTTGCGCGAAATCTGAACCGCACGTGTGTTTCACTAATGACATATTCGACTATACGATAGGAAAATTACGCCTAGTGCCCGAAGAGGATCAGGGCAGTAACGCGACAATGGGTTTAGGAATCAAGTACCCGTTGCACTTCATTAACGCGACCCGTGAGATCTACTTCCCTGGCGGCTTCCTGGGTGAGATCAGAACGGATGAAAATAGTGAGATCGTCTACTCCGAAGCAATTAATATGTTTTATTATATAGAGTCGAGTACGCGGAAGAAGCGCTTACGAGCTGAACAGTGGGAGAATGATTTTCTGAAGGCGATGCCTAAATTCTGTGAGGACCTCGAGCATGTGAATTGTGCCTATTTTACCTCTCTGTCGCTCACCCAGGAGTTGGAACACAATACAACGAATGTGGTACCCTATTTTAGTATCACAGTGTTCATCATGTTAGCTTTTACGGTATCGACCTGTCTCATGGTGGACAATGTGCGCTCAAAGCCGTGGTTGGGTATGCTTGGTTGCCTGGCTTCCGGTATATCGGTTCTTGCCGCTTTCGGACTTACAATGTACGTCGGGGTCGAGTTCATAGCTATCAACATGGCGGCGCCCTTCCTTATGCTTGGTGAGTACCTTTCTTCAGTCCCTATAAAATTTCTCAAGTTCACTGTACGTTTTACCTAGGTAAATGCTGAAGACAGAGTAACAAGCTCTATTTTTCCTCTATATTTATATAGCTAATTCTTTTCGCCACTCAGTGTGGTGACGAGCGTCACTGTTGCAGTAAACGAATAACACCGTAGGGTAAAACTGCCAACAGAACAGACCATCAAATGCTGCTAGCTTAGTCTGCTAGCTTGATCCAGAGGCTACATTCAATTTATATAACTACAACGAACATCATTCTACCGATACGCCAATTGGGGTTTGCAATGCGATGTAGTCATGTACTGAATGGATAATTTATGATGAATAAATAATTTTCCGCTATGATTTAATCCTAGGAAACGGCATGACGACTTTGGCCCACAGATTTTAAAACTTCTCCGGCAGAACGGATACAAGTAGTAAGATCGTCTACTCCGAAACAGTTTTATTATATCGAGTCGAGTACACGGAAGAAGCGCTTACCGCCGCCGCAACCCTTGGCCAAATGTCGACCTTCAGTCTGTGGCAATTGTCTTAGCTAGTCTAAGGCCATATTTACAACAATCGTATCAAACAATTTTTCTCTCAACATCAAAACCATATAATACGCACCTTGGTAATAACGACGACGCCAACGTTTGAGGCACCAAATACTGCCAATCTTTAGACTGGCATTATCGGCCCGCCTACTTTGCCACAGAGGACGATACTGTTTTTCAGCGAATTGCGAAAGTGGAAAGACCTTCTTGATGATTATTTACGGCTGCTTTATATTTTTTCTCCCATCCAACTTATTATTATTTATTTAGTTATTCGTTTCTTTCCCGGCTATCGTTCTAAATGGAACTCGACCGGATCGTTTCCAGTTTGTTAGCTGCTCGCGATCCAGAATGTAGCTGATTCGCCGTTCCATAAAGGTCTGTAGGATTCTGACCCCACCGCTTGCGGGTATCATCACTTACAACAACAGCGGTCCCTTTGTGAATAGGGATTGTCATATGACGTTATTCTCACAACCAAAATGCTTATTCCCTAGTGGGCTTACGTCGGGTTTTATAACTTCACACATCAAATAGCGTTGTAACGAGGGCAATAGTCGACGACGATGATGATGATGATGGGCTTTCGTGATGACCGACAGTTTCATTTCTCACTATATATACACATATATATGACGTCACGGCACACATAGCGGGGCTTAATGTAGTGAACCAGGGAAAGTGAATCGGGTGGGGAGCAGAAATTGATAAATACGCCTTCTGGCATTCGGGTTGTTGCCACAGATACCGACATCGATGAATTATACCGAAGGGGCACTTGATTTATTCAAGACGTGAGTTTCGCCAATTACATAATCGCAAATGTTATTGTGATGCGGGATTATATATTGAGAATTTGTTTTCTGTTTAGACATGCGTGTGTGTCTAATATCTGTTAGGTACATATAACGTTAACACGGTGGTGAAAGCCGGCCGGTTGTCGCGTGTCAAAGATCGCTGAACTCAGCTATTCATATTGTATATTCAGCTTACACAGACTCCTCCCGTATTGTTATGCCGTGTTAGGCTTGAGGATGGACAACTTGTCGAGAGAACCTTACTCGCGGCCCTAAAGGAATAGATTATTTGCACGTTATTATAAATACTGATACGCAAACGAATAGCAGTTGTTGCTATTAAGATGAACAAGGAAAACATGGTTATAACAGAAAGCTGGATGGTATATTTTCAGAGCATTCGTAAATATTTAGATGGTAGGGAGCGGTTTGCCTACGTATCTCTTTGAAGACTCGCTATCCAGTCGGTACTGAGCAAGCCTTCCACTTTTTTTCTAGGTCAAAAAGATCTAAAGATTTTGATGTAAGATGTCAACGAGGTGAATTCTACGATAAAAGCAACATGGCAGACTCTTTGTCATCTTATATATCAAGCCTCGATGTAGTCTCGTCAAGGTCAGTCGTCTTCCCGCTGTATCGAGCAACGGTTTTCTGAAGTCTGACCGTACCTCGCTTGTCTCAATGAGTCGCCTGCGCGCGTCGTTAAACAATTTCTGGCGGATTTCTAACACGAGTGAAGATACTCACTCATCTTTTGATACACAGACGACAATCTATTAGTACAAACGTCAAATGAGCACCGGGATGCTGAAAGGTTCAAAACTATGTATAATTGTATTTCCGTACGATCTTATGTTTTTGTCGCTCTAATTCGACAGTTAAGTGCAAGGCACCCTAAATCAAGCTCAACATCAGCCTGGATCATTAATAATATCAACTTGAAATAGAGAAACTGAGGAACGTCAGCCAACCAGTGTTAGAATTTATTATAAAATTATTATACGAATTATTCGATGGATAATTAATAGCCGCTAGGGGAGTACACCGATTTGCACCCAGACTCGCCCCTCATTCAAGCCTTCCCATAACTATGTTTCGTTTTTGCAGTTTCGTTTTATTAGTATGGTTTAATACATTTTAATTAACATGAATTAATGTATTGGGACATTGCATTTTTACGCATCAAACCCCGGGGAAAAAATTAGCCACACAATACCTCGGCATCTGAAAAGTGATCGCGTTTCTAATTTATCTTAATTCCTTCTTTCTTTTCTGCTGCCACAATAATAAAAACACGTCACATCAGATCTCTGGAATAAAACCGTAAACTCAATGTACATATGGTTTATTTACTTAAATGTTATTATGTTTATTTCGATTAAGAGGTCACCGCTGTCATCGTATGGCGATGGCAAAGCGGCATCGCAACGGAAGGCAGCTAATCGCTTTCTAGTTACTGCCATCGCTGTTACTAGTCTGGAAAGCAAAAAAAAAAGAACATCTTCGAACGATGACTGCCGTGCCGTCTCTGTGAAAGAGTCGATCGCGTTTTCCGTTCCCAGGAACACCGTCGTCAAGGCTGTTATTGGCGGATGCTGCCCATTGCGATACGTTAACGGTGGTGAAGACACAATATTTATCGTTTTTACGCAAAAAAAAAAGTTATTTCTGTCAGTGAGTATAATGTGTAAGCTTCCGCCGAATTTCAAAGTTGATTCGCTTGTACTCCAATGAACTAATGAATGACGGAGCGAACACCGTGGCTGAATTACGACTTAGTGATCGATATTTCAACGACATTCCATGACGAGCTATCTGCTCGTTGTTTTATAGGCCTAGTTAACGGCAACAGCAACTATCTCTTCTTTCTTTATCTAGATTCCTTCGAGTTTATCACAGGATTACCCTTTGTAGTGAAACTAATCATCTTCCCATTGCGCAAACTATTCACCCCTCTATCAGACCAAACTCGCCAGATTTGCAGTAATAGAATACAGTGGCTATATGATAAGTTGTCGTTGTAAACATCGCCCAACGTAATCCGATGATAAACATCGATATACTCACACATATAAACATGTGTCTGTATCGCTGTGCATACAACGCTGTGGTACTTTTCCCTGACAGGGCGAACAGATACAGAGCGTCATTGCGCGTTTGACGGGGCTTGTTTCTGATAACTTAACTGGCGAAACTAAAATAGTAGTGTTAAGTTTTTCGTGCCTACAGTATGTTTGTTACACACTAGAAATATGTACGTGTGTGTACGACCAAGTACATCTGTCCTAACGATAGCGGACTTCTACGCAACGCTACATCACATGGTATTGCGACGTGAACAGCTCTGATATCCGAAGCTCTGTAATCCGCGCGTATAAAATGATCAAACGTTCAGTTCCTTCTGTGGACTGAAAATCAGTGCTGGATTGCCGGTGCTCGTGGCGGCTGTCGCCTGTCGTACCGAGTATACAAGCCATGATGATCTTGTGATGCAGCGTCAATGAGAATAGTAAGATGCACGTAAGATATAATAAGCATTGAGATCCAACAGCTGCGATTAAAAACAGCTTGTTGGTCCTCCATACGGGACGAAGTTGACTAAACGTCTCATTTGTTAGCCTATTATTCCTGCTGTGATTATCAACCTAGTGGCTTTCCAGCTAATCCACTGCTGGCTAGTGAGCCGAAGCGCTGTTAAGATAATGGCAACAGCGGAAGTAGCGATTATGAATCAATATTGTACCTCAGTAAGTTTAATTCGGCAACTTATATTCAGTTGTCTGAAGTTACTGTGAAGCCCATCTTACGCCTATGCGCAATACGGCCTACTGCCGCAATCACAGTGGTTTCTATTGTGAACAGCCCAGCATACAACCTATCTATCTCGGGCTAGATCGTCGGCTCTAAGCTGCTAATTGCTATTTTCTACTTGTTGGTCAGTAGTCGCTAGAGATATTGGTCACCGAGAGAGCGCTGGCTGCTGTGAAATGAATGCTGAATAGGTTAAAGTTTCCATACCATTGACTCTTCATTTTCTCATTCAACATGTAAATGCTGGCCAGACTGAGCCATGTAGTGGGTAGTTGGCTTCAAACAGTCGCTGCCGATCTATTATTGGCTACCGCAGACAACTTATGAAGTATGGCGAAGAAACATATGGTTTGCCACAACTTGCCCAGTCCGAAAACGAGAGCTCTGCAAACTTTGGGCCTTGCTTGTCCTAACTCGCCAGCTATCCGCACGATAGTCGACACCAGCACAGCCGTATTATCAGTGTCCCGCGAGTTACACATAGATTAACTATGGAGCGCTTTCAGCTCGTCTAGAAGGTCTATCCGTATCCGGCGAAGCGTGAGGTAAATTATCGGCGTCGAGATAGTTGTAATCATAGGCCGAAGAGCTGGACGTGCTTTGCCGTCGCTAAGGCACAGCGGAAAAATTACGTAACTGATCATTACTAGCAATAATCGTCGCACCGGTACAAGTACACTACAAAGGATCTGACGTCAAAAAGGTAATCAGTAGCTAATGAAACGAAGGAAAACTGACAGGTAGGGATATGAATCGTGGATTAAATAGGCAAATCTTGTGAGCCTGTCAGCACGATGTCACAGCGGGCTGTAGTTGATTTTCTAACATCC